TGCCAACCAGTCTTTCTCCTTTTCCTAGAACATTCAGCTCTGGAAACATGCTGCTCATCACTTGCTGCTTCAGGCCATACTTCTCTCACATAACAAAAAAAAAAAAATTAAAAAAAAAAAACCAACAAACAAAAGAAAATCCCAAACAACCCCAGAAAAACAGAAAACAAAATGAAACAAAACAAAAGAGAAAAATCCAAAAAAAAAGTGAAAACCCCAGACCCCTGAACACCCAGAAAACCCACTAGCAGCTTGGACACATAAGAAGGTAAGACAAAAACAAAATGGTCTTTCTTCAAATGGTTTAAAGGTAGAATGGAGCATTTTTCATCTGTTCAGAGTTAAAGTGACATAGCTCCAAAAGCACTGAGATATATTATAATACAATTATTGCCCTCCCACCCACTCATAATGGAAGCCATCCTCCTGCAGTAATCTGTGGAAGTTTACAGCTTTAGAAACAGATGAGATCCAAGTCCTCCCATGCCACAAAACCTCAATTCTTTACGTTGTAGCACTGCAGGAAGCATTTTAGCTGCTGCACTCTGGTATATTTTAGTAGGTGTTAGAGGAAATGTTTCTCTCATATCCACCCAAGTCACCAGACACCACAACATGTGCTGCAGCATGTGCCCCCTTGGGATCTTCCACAGAAAGGCTATGATTTACTTCACTGAGGTGCTCCAAGAAACTTTGCTTCTGTATTATGTCCTGTTTAGAGATTCAAATGGAAGATGGAAGTGCCAATTCTCAGCATAAACCCCTATGTAAACATATAACCAAAATAAGTTATGTACTTCTTGTCTGCTTCACCAACAGCCTGCATTTCCTTCTTCAAGTACTCCCAGGGGCTTCCATAAAAACTGCAGGAAGTTGAACAGGGACATCTCTTTGTGTAAAGATATGCACTTACTAAGTGAAACTGTGCTGTATGTTCATAATAAGCAACTGATTGCTGTTAAGTTCCACAACACAGTCACTAGCAGAAAAACTAGTACCCACCAACACTCAAGATTACACAGCAAGTTAAGATGGGAGACTCCATCTTGCTTCAGTCACAGCTAACTGTTACACAGACACAGAAGGTATTTTATCAGTCAGATACTGAACTTGAGCTTAGGATCTAAGTTGGTGAAGGGATCTAGAAGAGCACGCTAAAAGCAGAAGATAAAGGTGCCACGTTTTGCACAAGACAGTCAAGCAGCCTGTGTAATTGCCTTCAGCAGTATGTCAGAACCTCTACAGTCTGCTCCTTGAGATGCAAGAGCCAGTTAGTGTTTCCACAGTGTTTCTGATACATACCCTGTTTTGAAGCTTCCCTGTTCCGCAAGTGAGGAGGAATGTATCGGCCTTCTAAAGGACAAAAGAAAGGCAGTGTTACAACAGGCCCGTGGTGTCAGCACATCTTGAAATGCTCATCCTGTCAACAACAGCTTCTGCTTAGTAAAAGCATCTGCCCTTAAGGCCTCTTACAGCAGTTTAAACAACAATCCTTTGATACAGCACTCAGTAGCATGCTCTCAGTTGAAGTTTAAAGGTCTTGCATACCCATTTAGGCAGCTGGTTTAAGGCACAGATGTCTTGTGCTCCTCTGACGGAATCACACACCCATTTATGGGTGTTACACTATGACAAAAGCCTGCCTTCCTAGAACCCACTCAGGCTTACACTGGTGCCAAATACTTGAGCAGCTCAAGACATTTACTCTGACATTCAAATACTGGCACTCACAGTATTACTACCAGTAGTTTTCCTTCCCCTCAAATTCACCCATCCCCTCCATTCAGCTCAGATCAAACTAGAAGCCACAACCAACTGCCTCTGAATATTATTCCTCATTTACAATCCAGAAACATCTGTCTGCTAAAGCAACGTGAATGAGAAAATACCAGCCACAAGCTGAATGAGAATTCCTTGTAAGATTCTCCCCTCTTAACATCCTTTAGCCTTGTATATCAATATCACTTTCTATTCAGTGAATTGAAATCACTGAAGTTGACATTCCTACACCACCTGGTATTTTAAGACAAATCACCAAATTACTACAGTCTGCCTCAGATGAGAGACAACTGAAAATCTGGGACAGAACTGGAACACTGAGTTCTCTCAAGCTAATTAAGTGCTTCAGAAGTGTGCACACATACTGTACCACTAGAAAATTAAGTGGTTCTATCTAAAACACACAATGTTTTCAAAGGAAGCTTAACTGGTAACCTCGTATTTTCTCATCAGCCTCTGTAAACTCTGGCTTTAGAAACTGCTTTTCACAGCTGCAAGCCCCCAGTTTCTAAAAGTGTGTTTGTAAGCTTGAGAATTTGCATGTACTTACTGCTTGTAGAGCTTCCTTCACTCTGAGAGTCTGAGGAATTCAAGTCTAGACCAGAAAACTAGAAGAAATAAGACAAGTATCAGCATGTTTTACCATGAATTTATGCTAAGATACAAAAAACCTTTTCATTTATCAGAAACAAGCTACTGCAAAATCTTTTTTTATATCGTGCCAAATTAGGCCTCCTATTATTACTCAGGTTGTACAACCTTTAATGTTTTTGTACCCACCAATAAACAGACACCCACACAGGCAGCAAGGTCGGCAGAGTATCTCACACCCACCAAATCACTACCAGAGACTTCTTCACACTACATGCAGGCTAAAAAGCCATTTTAGATAGACTGAATTTTAGTCTATTTCAGTCAAATGCATTCAGATTTGGGTCAGTGACAATTTTTTTTTTTTTTTTTTTTTTTTTTGTGCTACAGAAACTTTAGCACAAGTAATGCCAATTTATTCGGGCACTTGTACAGCCGCAAGGTATTTTTAGCTGCATTAATACTACTACGACATTACAGTCTCTTCAAACTTAAGGCAACTACTGTTCCCAAAACATTAGGTGACATCTGCTGACATCTTCAACGAACACAATTTCTCCAAAAAAAACACAGTTTTTAAAAAAAAACTCATCCTTTATAGCCTTTAATCTCACAGGAAAGTTTTCCATAAGATGTTCAGTTCACGCAGTGCTGGTGTGCCACTCAGAGGGATTAAGTCAAACACAATATGGACTAATTTCAGCAGAAAGCAGTGGGAAACTGATAAAGCTTATGAACCAACTTATTACAGTTGTTTGCCTGATTAAAAACATGTACCAGAAAAACAAGGCATGTTTAAATACGAATAAATTTTATATTGCACGGAAGTATTTTCCAACATGAGCCGAATTAATCCAAAGCAAAGACTCCGATGCACTGTCCTTTCTGGCGTTCAGCTGCATGAGCTGCCGCCAAAAGACATTCAATTCTTGAAGAATTCTCCCACGGCTGACCTCTTTAAAGCTACCACTTAAAACGCCATCTTTCTAGCTGATTGCAGCATCAACGTACGGCTTATTTTTAACAGCATTTTAAAAGCTCGCTACTAGGTCAAGGCGGCTCTCCACAATCAACAAGAAGAGACGGATGAATCTTCCCGCACTGGTTCCTCACGGTGGGGGCAGCGCTCCGCTGTTGCCGGCTCGGCGGTGGCGCAGCCCGGCGCCATCTCAGTGCGGCACTGCGGGCCGGGCTCCGGCGCAGCAGGAGCAGCTAATCCGGCTGCCATCACGTGCGGCGCGGGGGGAGAGCGGGGGACGAGGCGGAGGGAGGGAAGGGCCGTCTCCGTGACCTACTTCGCGGGAGCGGCCGAGGGCGAGCGCTGCCCCGCCGCGGCTGATGGGGCTCTTCTTGCCCCTGCTGCCTCTCCCGAGGGTTAGATAACCATCGATCCCGCCCAGCGCGGGGGGATGTAGGAATGAAATGGAAGAAAATAATACAAAATGGTGCGGACCAACGCAAGTCCGGGCCCAACTGCGTCACCGGGGCCTGGCAGCACCGGAGCTCGAACAAAGGCGGCCGCCAGCACCGCTTCCCCCGGGAAGGGGCGTCACACAAAGCGCCGTGTCGTGTGTGTGTCCCCCCTTCCCCCGCCCCGCACAATGGCGGCCATTGACCGCCCCTTCCTCCTCCTCCTCCCCCCCGCTGCAGTTCCCGCCGCGGCCGCCGGGGGCCGCTGCCGCTCCCGGCGCTCCCACACAAAGCGGGTCCGAGCGCGGCGCGGGGGCCGCGGGGCCCGAGCGGGAGCGAGGCCGGGCCGGGCGGCACCGGCGGCCCCGCAGCCCCGCTACGCCGCCCCGGCCGCGGGGACAACGCAGCCCCACGGGGGAGGGCCCGGCCCGGCGCGGGGCCGCCGCACGGCGTTAACTGCGCAACGACCGAGTGCGCCACAACAGGCCGCGTGGGGGGGAGGTGGGGGTTACCGCGGGGCTTCTCGCGACGTGATCGCCGGGAAGCGAGGAACGGAGCCCCACGTGAAGATTCCCGACCGTTCCTGCCGCCATCCCTGCCCCGAAAGCCTCCGCCGCGCGCCTCCTCCGGGTAACGGAGCGGCCTTTCCGCTTCTCGTCCCTCACCTGCTGGTCTAGACTGAGGGCATTTTCCACCGCCACATGACTCATAACGAGAGATCGGTCTCGGGCTCGTCCCGCTCCGCCTCGAGAAATGGGGATCCGCTGGGCCGGGAGGTCGCTGCTGTGGGCGTCACTGGTTCCGCCACGAATCGCTGCCCTGACTGAGCCCCCCCGCCGCGGGCCCGTCCTTTATATAGGCCCCGCCCCCCGCGCGCCCTGCCGCGCGCGCTGACCTCAGCGCGCACGGCGACCGCCTCCCCCCCGCCCTCTCTTCCCGGCAGCCTCGCGAGAACTCCGCGCAGCCTAGTGGCCGGCGATGGACGCGCTCCCGCAGATGTCGCGAGACTTCGGGGCGCCGGGCCCGCGCGGAGTCTCCGGCGGTACCGCGAGGTTTCCCCTCCCCCCCCCCCACCCCGCTCTGCTCGGGAGGAGAGCGGCGGCGAATTCTCGCGATATCACGACGCCCCCCCAACCCACAGCCTGCGCCGCGCCGTCCTTTTGTTCGCCGCTCTCGCGAGAGCGCCCCCCGCGCGCGAGACGCCGCTGAAGGAGGTGGGGCCCTGGGTCACGTGGGCGGGCGGCGCCGCCATCTTGTCGCTCCCCCCTCAGGGGCAGTGGCGCAGCGCGTAATGGCGGCGCGGCGGGAGGAGGGGTGGCCCAGTACACACCGGCCTCCCTCCCCGCCTGCCCCCAGAGCAGGCCCGGACACGCCAGCCTGCGGCTCTGTAGGGCTCAGACCATCCCCTGTGCTTGCTGCCCTGTGAGCTGCTCCCCCCAGCACTCCGCTGGTGGGATCCAGTAGTCATTGCACATCTTCATCAGCTCTTTCTCCAAGCCCCTTAACCATCAAACGTGCTGACGTGCCAAAGGACTGCTCTTATTTTCCCTGTAGCGTCATTTTTGCCAGCTATCTCTACATCCACAAATAGCCCCACCTTGGATCAGGACTTTTAGACTGAAAGCATCGGTCAAATAATAAGCATCTAACTACCATTTGGGGAAGAAATATAAATAACCCCATTCCTTTTTCTCATAGCCTGCTGACACAGAGACTGGTAAAGCTGCTCCCTTGTATTTGGGTCAGTAGAAGTACTGATGAACGTGCTCGGGGGATCAGAACATGTCCAGGGAAGAGGACACGGGTTTGCTGTCCTTGATCCACACACAGCAATTATCCCTCCATTTCCCTCCTCCTCAGGCTCCTGCCTCTCCCAAGAAGAAAACCACAGGGAAGATGCATTCTCCAGAAGGATGATTCACCATGGGATGTAAAAACAAAGACAACTTTTCCACAGTACTCATACATTAAACAGCCCATCTCTGCCTAGGTTTTTCCTGCCTGTAAAATTGGAGCTCTAGAACCACAGTCTTCCTGATGCAGAAATTAAGCTCTATGGGACAAGGTTTAAATAAGACTTAAAAGATTCAAATATCCACAAACAAGTCCTTGAATGAGCAACACATGCTCCTCACAGACAAACCACTCAATTCTGTGATGATCTGGTCTTAAACAAAACATTTACCAGTCCTCTGCTTTCACCTTCCATAACACTTCTCCAGCCAGCTACAGCTCCAGAGTTAAAGATTTATTCCTGTATTTCTTCCCCAGCTGCATCTATTTATATCATCTAAAAGCTCACAGGTTTCTTCATTGAGGCTTCCTGACAGTTAAAAGAAAAAGGTTTCTGTATTTTTAAGAAGCTATTACTGGATGTTGGCCCAAATTTTGGGTTTTTTTGAAAGCAAGTTTAAAGTAATACTTTTAATTCCTTTTCTTCTTACAACTTTGCAGACAATTCTAAAATCTAAGCAATTCTGCAGTTCCCTTCATTCATATGCACTAGAAAATGGCATTAATCAATCCTTTGCTATTTTAGAAGTATCACAGCAATTTAAACCCTGATCCTGCAGTCAGGAAAGTCAGTTCTTGGGAAAGTCAGTTTTCCCTCTGAGTTGCCATCTGCACTAGGCAGGACTATTCTCAGTTTCACTTTTAATTCTCCCACAGCTGACTCAGCCACAATTCCCTGGAGGAAGCTGAGCAGCTCATGAGCACTTGAGTCAACACCAGAGTCCTCACAAGCTCTGCTCATGTTAAACTCAACCAAAACTCCTCAAAAGCTGACACTGCCAGGCGCTTGGGCACTCGGTTCTTAAATCCCAGCAAATTCCCAAATCTGGTATTGCTTCACCTGCAGAGCCCCATCTGGCAGGAGTTCTGAAAGACATCAGGGAAAGCCCCCAAACTGCCAGAAATGCGACTTTTGGAGTCTTGAGGAGCTTGCCTTAAGGAAGCCAATATCACCCACTGCCACCAAGCCATGTATGTATGCTGTGAAGTCAGTGTGTTTATGAAGTTATATCTGACTTTTAGAGTGTTTTTACCCAGTGCTGACAGACACTGACCTTGTGTACACAAGTTTCCTTTTCTGTATTGAAACTATCAACAGATCCTATGTTACTGACCATCTTAACAAGCAGATTTCTCATTGTACACAGCTATGGACTCACTTCTAAGGAAAGGAGGTATTTTACTAATGGTAAAGCAGCTCAGACATCCAGAGTGTGATAAAAAATTGATGCAATTCTCAAGTCACAGTAGTGAAGACTTGTTTCTTGTTCTATGCAGCTGCCTATGAGGCTGACCCCATACCTTAGTTTTGTGAGTCTTTCATACTGTAAGATGGCAGGGTAATCAAAATATAAATTTAACATTGTCCAGCCACAAATTAACAAAGGGATTTGGACAACAGTGAATATCTCTCATTAATATCAGAGATCTGTCTTTAGCAGCATAACTTCCACATGCTCCATCTGATCAATTCCCAAATTTCTGTGGACATTTTCGGCATCAAAAGGCAGAGTGTTATTCAATGTGTGGGGCCAATGGTTCCTCTCACTGGCATTGCCAGTGTTTACTAAGCTGTGCCTGGACAGCATTTGACAGAATTCTTACAAAATACTCCCCTATGCTGAAACACTTTGTTCTATCACTGCCTTTGCTGTGTACACCTCTATCCTCAATCTTAGCACATAATCCCTTTAACTGACGTGAAGAATTAAAGGCAATCTGATTAAGAGCTGCTCTGTCCTTTGGCAGTGTGCTGCCACCCAAGCCTTGCTGGCTCCCCTTCCCTTGTCTCTCCATGTTCCAGACTGGTAGGTGGAATGCACACAATTGATTGGAGAGGGCTTAATGAAGAGCAGATTCATGATTATTCTCCAAAGAGATGCCTGAAGTTTGTTTTCAAGCTTCAAAGAAATTTTCATCTTGTCCTGAAAAACCACAAAATACTGTTTACAGAAAGCAAGGACTCTTAGCTGAAAGGAGAGACAGAATCAGGAAGTTTTATAACTTATGACTCTAGAACAGGGGTACACACAAAAGGTTTAGTCACTTCAAACATAAACTAATCCTTATCTGAGGCAGCACTCAAAGCTTCTCTCTCTCTCTCTTTTTTTTCCTTTTCTTTCTTTACTGAAGTCCTGAGTGTAAAGTCCTTTACTGAAGTTTTTATTTTCTGTAATGGTTTAGTGACAAGATCAGTAGTCACAGGCTTCTGTGGGAACTGAGGAAGTACAAGCACAGTTTTGTTCATATTTCTTGTTACATGAAGATCAGACACAGGGGAAAGTGAGGGCATAAATGTGGATTCAGACTTTTAGAGGATGGAAGAGAGAATGTTTTTTGACTAAAATGACCAAGGGTTGTTGTCCCAAGTGGAAGAATGAATGGAGAGAATGTGGCAATTCTCTGAACATTGAAAATTTCTGAGTTTGGCTCTATTTTTTCATATCTCTAGATTCCTTGCTAGCTTGAATTTTAAAAACCTTAATCATTTTTATTTCTCTGCATTCAGATTTCTCCATCATCCCCACTGGACTCCAAATTATGTTGCCTCTCTCTTTCACTCTCCATGTTTATGCACCACTTTGTCTCTCCAAATGCTGTTTTACGTGTTCCAATTAAATTAAGGGCTTGCCTGCACAGGAAAGTTACAATACTATTAATTTGCAGTTTGCTTTAAAGAAATTAAGTTAAACCTGGGCAAAAGGCCATGTGGACTCCCTGGTATTCCTCTGCAGGAATACAAATGGGTTATTTCAGGTTAGATCAGGTCAATTAGGAACAGGAAGAACTTGCAAAACAGTCAGTTTTTCTACATCAGAATGAAGAGAGTCCAGCAGCTCCTTCTGCAGATTGTAACCTCCAAATGGGAAGAAAGGCTGGGGGCATGGTCTTGATCTCTGCAGGAGCCACAATCTGCTGGACACAGGTAGCACAACACCAGGTGACTGCTGCTGTCACTGCCCTGGCTCGGGCTGTGGAGCAGCTCTTGCCCATTGCAGCCTTCTTCTTACCAGGACAGCCCAATCCACAGCACTCACAGGACAGAAGTAGGGACTGCTGCCTCTGTGCAAGGTATTTTCTTCCACTCTGTTCATGTAGGCATTAAAAACTGAGTCCTTTGCAAAAAAAAAAAAAAAAAAAAAAAAAAAATTACCATATGATGTTGTTTAATACGGCAAAGTCATGAGTATCCATCTACTGCCCCTCTTTGAATGAATGCCTGGAGTTAACTATTGGTTTACAAGTAGATTGTAATTTTATGAGTGTGCCTTTCTCTTGTAGGCAAGCCCAAAGAAGAGAAGATGAAGACAAAAGAAGAGAAACTCACAGCAGCAAGAAGAAAGGAAAGAGGCACATCACTAAATCTTGGATTCACATTCTCATTGTGAACTGGTTTGAACTAGTAAGCTCATAATTGCCTAAATCAAAATAGGCACCTAGTCAAGATGGCTCCTACATTAATCAGCATCAGTTATACTTTGAAGGAGGCACTAATGTTTCTCATTTCAGTTTCTGTAAGCCTTTTCTAATTACCATTTCTAAATACCAAGTGCAGCTTCTATGTTATGTAACATAAATGGTCTTTGGGAGAAAGGGGAAAGAAGGTCCCTCTTCCTGTTTTCCTTGCTGTTGCTGCAGTGTTGGTTCTGTCACTTGGCAGGGGAAGGATCACCAGCAAGGGAATGGGGGTGGTGTAGGAACCTGTAATACAAAGGTTGGTGGCCTGAGTTAATGTCACTAGGTTAGCAGGTCATAAAGACCACAGGGCATCGACCTGCTGTCTCTCAGGGCATTCAGATATGGAAAAAACGCGATTAGTCCCGATGACTGCCAGAGCTGAGACAGGTGGAGATACTGACAGTTCCAAAGAGCTACAAGAAGATACCCAAACCCTGTGCATAGTCACCAATCCAAGAATAACCCAGGACTTCAGAGCTGGCATCCCTTGTGTTCTCTACGGCATCACACAGATCCTGGATCCATTACCTGGGCACAAACTTCATATTGCCTGGATTTTTGGTTAAATGGCTTAAACATGCTGGCCTGGTGCCTGGTGGCTGCTCTTGTGAGTGTGAGAATAGGAATGTGGCTGAGTGAGACCTGTTTCTAGTTTTATTTTAAATTAAATCACTTTTTCCCCTTCCCCCCTCATCCCCACCTCTCCTAACATTTTCTACCTTGTTTATATCATGTTGGAGCAGTATTTCCTATAGAGGAACAAGGAGTAGTAAAGAGGAGCACCCAGAAGCATAATCTTTCAGATGGCAGCAGAAAAAGAATCTGCCATCTGAAAGGCAGGTTTTATTTAAAAATTTACTGTCAGTAGAAAATTCTCTCTTTTTCTAGATGGGTCTTCAAAGGGCCACCCTGCTCCTCTTGCTGGCTTTGGTCAGCAGTGCAGGTCACACAGCTGGAGCTCTGGCCCACTCCCTTGTAGGAGACTTAGCTCAGGCTTCAATGTGCACATTGCAACCTTTCCACTTAAATAATTAAAGATAAAGCATTTTGGAGATATCTAGTCCATCACACTGCCTTAAGACTAAATATATCCATCCACTCTGGGTGGATGCTCATCAGACTGGATCTCCAGAATACCAACTGCATCCCCAAACTGGGGGAGGGCTCCCAACCCTGACTGGCCTCTCCTAAGGGGCTGTAACATCACCACAGCCCCTTCTCCCCAGCTGTGAGGAAGGAGCCCCTGCTTCATGCTGAGACTGAAAAGCTGCTTAGTGAGCCAAGGGCTCCCAGCTCCTTTCAGACACCCACAGACACGGGGGAGCTGTAACCCTCCCACCCCTTTCCAAGGCAGGCAGCTCAGTGCCTGCAGTGAGGTGGGAGCTGCTGCTGCCTCTCTGTGAGACAGCAGCTCCTGGTGGCTTCCCCACCGTCTAAAAGATGGAAAAATGCTGCTGTTCAGTGAGAAATGGCTGCACAGCTTGTTGTATGTCACCTCACTGTGGAGTAACTGAAGTCTCCATAGTAAACAGGAAGAATAGTTTATTTCCTTCCTCTTTGCAGTTGCTTTTTATGTATGTGTGCTGCTATTTTGCCCCTCTTCAGACTTTGCTTCTTGAGACTGAATTGTTTTTCATTAGGCCTTACAGTTTATGTCTTCTGAACTTCTTGAAGAGCAGCAGTTCAGCATTTAAATTAACGTAGTGTTTATGAAGTGAGCTGGACTGACAGGCATGGAAATGGAGACTTATGTCTTCACAGATTAGATGCCACAGTGGTAGGAGGAGTGAGAACTCCATACCTACCTTGTGATCTGGGACAACTCTAGAGGCAAGAATAGGATGTAATGATGAAATCCATCAAAGTGGCTCAGGTTTCCTCTTTAATCAGTAGCCTCCAGGCTGTTTCAGCCTGCTAGCATTCATTTGTGCCAAATGTGGTGGTGGCTTTATGATATGGACAAACCACTGCATAGCAAGGAGCTGTGTTAACCAACTCATTTCACATAAACTGCTGGCCTTGTGGGGGCAGAGCATTCAGGCAGGGTTCATCTCTGGCCACATGAAAGGTTCTCCAGCCGAGCCAGTCACCTCCAGCCCCTGATATAGCCACAGCAAGAAAAAGATACTGAGGTGATGAATCATCTCATCCTAAGGTAGATATTTAAAATAGATCAGATAAGACATACCTTTAAAATTGCCTACAGGGCAACAGGCTCAGGTGCATTGATAGACACAGTAGACATCTAAAATTAGGTGAGCCAAGTCTCTCTCACCTCTGGAGTCAAACCAGTGACACACAGGTCAAAGCCCCCACTTCCCATGGTGAAACTTCAGCGCACATCTTCTGCCTTTCTGAATTTACAGCCACCTCCAAACAACCAGCTGAGAGAATTATGAGGGTCTTCCACCAAATGGCTAAATGTTTTCACTGATTTTCAGAAACAAAATTTATTACATTCTTCTTTTTTTTAGTCTAGTGCCTAAATAGTCATTTTCTAGAACAGGAATAGTTGCTTTTTAACTTCCACTCATGAAAAGCAAATGCTTGGATTAGGAAGCACAGATATTCATCATGGCTATAATAATGATATTCTGCAGAGAGGAATTTTTATGTTGATCCATCTGATACAGTTGAACTATAAAGATTTATCTTGCAGATTCTTTGGCAAACAGGAACTTCAAAACAATGGTTTTTTTACTTCCACACCATTTTCTCCCCCTTCTCTCATTTTTGTTTTTTAGCTAATAGTTCATTAATAAGGAAAAGGATTCTTTTGATACCATAGCACATCTGCTGACCCATTTCAGTGCAAGTGCATATATAACTACTTGTTTGTTTGCACTTCTACAGGTGTTGCTGCTGTGCAGATATGGGCTGTGGTTACATTTCATAATGGAAAATCTGACAGGCAGTTAACTAATCCATGAGTCATATTTCGTAATAGCCTAAAGGTCTCTGATGTTCGACCTTCATTTGATACCCTTGCCATCAGGCAGTTTATACATAACCCATCTGAAGAACATTCTTTATATAGATGACTGCATGCTGCCCTTTTATACCTGCAAGGATGGGCAGTGCACTCACTGAGCCAGGGGAATCTGCTCTGCCTCTCTGGATGGGACTGAGAGCTGCACTGCACGGCCTCAGCTGGGGAATGGGAGCAGCGGGAACCTCTCTGCTGAGCTTCAGCCTCCTGCAGGGCCGAGCTGAAAGGTGGGGACGGGGTGGGGAGTTGGTTTTGGACTCCACTCACCCCAACTGGACTTCTGATTGGAACAATCCAGTAATGCAAGTAGCAGTGGCACTTCCAGCGCTAACAACTCTGCTGATTTCACCTGTGTGTGGCTCACTTCTGCTTGAGGCAGGAGAGACAGAGAATGAGACATCTTTTTGTCAGACCATCCCAAATGGGATCCATCCATTGCTGATAGCAGGGTCCAGCCAGCATTACCAATGCCACAGTCCTAAAAGGAGCACCCAAAGTGGAGAAGGCTCACCTGGAGAATCATCCTCTTTATTTTCTAGCCTAAGGGTGAAAAAGCAACACGGTGCTTACAAGGGGATCATAATATTGTTGGCTTTCAGGACTTCTCAAGTCTCACAGGCAGCAAAGGATGTTGGCATTGCTGCTGTTTTCGAAGCTAAAATAAGGCAGACACATGACTTCGGTAACTGCATGTGAAGTTTACATACTGTGACTCATCGTAATAAAGAAACCTAAACAAAACCCCAGTGTGTCATTGAAGCTGGAATATGTTTTCCATACTAACTTTTTTTAGGTTTGCTTTGGCTTCTTTTTTAGAGATGTAGAACAGTAGAATATCTCAGGGATATTAACTCTTTGCTGTTGCAGGATAGAAAGTTCTGATCTTCATGAATGGACCTATATAAAACACAGGATAAGGTTATCTTATTTTTTAAACTCTCTGTCTCAACAACTTTTACAGCATTGCCAAATGCTGGGCAAGCTGAGAAAACAAATGGAAAGAAGAAAGCAAAGGAGAAAGAAGGGTTCTAGCCCAAGATTTATCAGGTTGTCTCTTTAAGAAGCTCTGCCATTTCCCAATAACTATTTTATAATTGTCTGTAAGATAGCAGCAGGCACCAGGAGTGATGTGTATGTAGCATGTGAGTTGCCTGCTGTATATGGAACAGTGCCTAGGGAGGGACTGGCACAGTGGGAGGGGGAGCATGGCCAGGCTGGCTGTAGGCACCAGTGAGGAGGTTTGTCATCCTGCTGAGTCAACAGGAGACACAGCACCTCCAACGGGGCTTTTGCCTGCTGGGTGTTCAGCATTAGGCAGCTGAAGTTATGTGGTAGGAGCCTATAATGACAGGCTCATGTGCATGCTCATTTAAGCATGGAATTCATTTTGCATGGGTGATCTGGATTACCAGCTCCAGACCTCTTCATCTGGAGTAAAGCTGGCACTGGGCTGGGCAAGGCTCACTGGGGCTGTTTCTCAGGGCTCTCCTTGCAGCCCTTCTCAAGCCAATGCAGAAGGTAAGAAAAGCCCAAACAAAGCTTTCAGTTGGATTCAGGTTCATTTCAGAGGGGCAGCAGTGTTTGGAATCTGAGAAAGGAGCTGCTAAAAAGGGGTCAGGAGAAGGAAAAGGATTACACTGCAGATGTATCCGCCCCACTGTCAGCATTTCTACCTCTTCACCCTCCTCTGCCTTCCATTCTCATAGGAACTGATTCTTGGCTGGTATTTTAATTGTTTGACTTCCTATTTATCAGCACATTGTAATAGTTGATTCTTCTTATTGTACAGGTCCAGTTGTACAAGTTTCTATCTAGTCAGTCACAAAATTTCTGGCATCTAGACTATTCCAATGAACAGGAAGAGGTACGGTTTTTCCATCTTTGCAAATAACTTCCCAAGAAGTCATCACCAAACATTGCATAAACACACAGTTATCCTTGTCACATTCCAGGCCAAATGACAGTACAGCTAGAATCAGAAAGTCAAGGGAGTTTTTTGCTGAGTGGTACTAATTATATGAGTAGTACTGAGATAAACCTGGCAGAAGCAGTGTGGTTTAAACTCTAGACCTTTAGCCTTAGAGAACTTTCCATCCTGTTCAACTGCTCCTGTGTTCCACCATCTCAGGCCCCAGCCTCGTAGGGCCAGCCTTACTGAAAGATTCTTGTTGCTGTCATTTAGGGTCTCAGCAAGAGGAAGGGTCCAACTATACAAATCCTACTGGCAGGACAGGGCTGATGACAAAAGTGTTATATAATATAATGCAGCGAAGAGTTGTATAGCTCTTTTCTGATGATCTGAGGGACTCCTCTCCCAGTTCGCCCCTCAGTACCCACTGAACTATCACCTCCATCATGACATTGGATCATGATATACATAACAAACTTCTGGTTTAAAGTGCCAGGATAGAGGAACTCTCTTGTATGCCTGTTCTAAAATGTGGTGAACTCACGCTTTGGCTGAATTTTTGTCTTTAAAAATTTTTTTTTTCAAAGTCATCTTAATATCAGAAGAGAATTTTAATTGTGTCCATCTTTCCACTTTTTTATTGTAGTATTGGCTGTAATTAAACTTTAAAATACAGGGACATCACTACCTGACATTTTTTGTCTCTTTTCCAAACAATATCTGGATCTGAAAATTAATAAAAGGAGATACACCTTTTCAGTTCTTTGTTTAGCTACTCTGGCTTTTTTTCAGGTTTTTACAGTGCTTTCCAGGCTCTCAGTTTCACCTCCCTATTTTTTGGTTCCCTGAGCTTATGTGGTGTCTTTGATGCTGCAAAAGGGCAAGGTAAAGTGCCAGAGGAAAAAAAAAAAAGGTAAAGTACTGTGATAAAAGGACAGGCATCACCCCAGGGATTCATGTACTGAAACATCTTTAAAATTCTTCTTAAAAACAGGCTAGTTGGAAGCTGACAGTGTCCTTTTAAGGACAGTTTATGTTTAGAAATCCTGCTTAGTCTTATGAGCAAGTTTTGGCTGAGCACAAGTGCTAATGACTTTTTGAAATGAAAAACATTTCTAAAGACAAAAATAGCTAGCACTGAAATCTCTCACAGTCATTACTTACAATTTCTGTGTGATCCCTTGTCCAGATTTATAATGGTTGCTCTCCATGCCAGCAGAACTTACAACTTTGTGGATTTGTCTATAATGTTGTAATTAAAACCAGGATGATTTTCATGGGCCCAAATAATTTGTAATTCTTGTGAGAGCTCTGTCTTTTAAATGGCCTTACATAAGATGTAATCTTCACTGACCTAAGCATGCATACGCAGTTTTCTTAATGCTCAGTGATGTTTTCATCAAGGAATTATATACCTTTGGGGTTATTTCAACCTGATGTGTTTAAAAACAATTTTCCCAGCCTTTCTCAAGAATTTATAATGTGTTTAAGTTATCTTGAAGTAAAATACTCCTTTTTCTTCTGATGGGTGCCTCCAAATAGCTTGTCTCCCTTAGTCCTTCTATGAGAGTTAAAGACTGCCCTTGAACAGTCCTTTCTTTCCTCCAGAGCAACACTTTCCATTTTACTGCCCACCCGCTGGCAACACATTCTGGGGACCCTGCAGTGACTCCCCAGCATTTCCAGAGCTGTGCAGTCTGAAGGGCAGAACCTTCTCATTCTCCCTCATTCTGGGATCATTATGCAGTATAAGCCCCAAAATCTGATCTACTACTAGTTCTCCATATTTGTTGGAGGGGTGGAATGTTCCTTATCATACAAAGAAAAGGCAGACTGGCATCACTCACACACTTAACATGGCAGAGCCATGTCACAGTCAGTGAGGGGCAGTTATATGGGAGGGGTGGAGAGCTGGGTCCTCAAATGTGAATTTCTTCCTATTGGAACACACAGCTATTTTTGAAGCCTGAAATTCCATCAACAGGATTCCTCTATGGATACTCTGTCATTTTAACTCGACCTTAAAGTTCTTGTTGGGGGGATATCTCCTGTAAGGTGTTTTGAGCCTTGAACCTGCTTGTGCCTGGTAGTATTAATAACCCGGGGCAGGGAATGTTTATGTAGCACTAAGCACCATGGCAGCACTTAGTAAATAATGAAATAAATCGAAGGCTTTGTTTCTGTTTAAATACTGTGTTTGCCTTCTGTGGATATAGACCTGGATCCTGCTCAACAACCTCATTTGGGTGAAACTGGATATTGCACCCCTGTTATTCCAGCTCCTTTAATGTATGGCAGCTGTAGAGACAATGCACTGCTTAATGAAGAACTCAGAGTCCCTCATTTAATGTTTTTTTAAAAAATCCAAAATCCATGGAACCTGCACTAAAAATATCCATCAGGATTCTTACTTTTGATACAAATACACAATTTATGGAGAAAAGGCAAGAAGAGATTATGTCCAAATCAACACTTGCAGTATACAAGGACCATTACGGTCCAAATTCACTGCTCCACACCAGAATTCCAGACATGCAATAAAAATGCCAGGCCTGGGAAGCTACTCTGGCTGCTAAGGAGGGGATGCCCAAGCATATGAGAACCAACATACAATTAGAAACGTGAAGAAACCTTCACTATTTAACTGCTTTAAAGCAATGAGCAGAGAAAAATTGGGAAGGCCAGAGTAATTGCATTCTATGCTCTTGGCCTTCCAGACCACACAGGTGCAGAGGCCAAGGGGTGGGTGCTGTAGAGAGGAGCTGTGTGTTTTCCTTCAGAACAGCCTGGAAGCTGCTCAGGAATCCCAGCACTTAGGACTTGTCTCAGAGAAGTCAATCTGCTATCGACTGTGCCTTGCTCTCGTGTGTTTTTAATAGAAGCATTTAAAATAATTTCAAGATTGAGGCGTGTACAAGTTAAACTTTGAGTAGAAGCTGGAGAACAAATAGAGCCGTGCTAAATTGGTTTCTGGTACAGCCTGACAATATATTCAAGATGCTACCTAATCCCAAGTGATCCCATAAAAATTAATCTCCTACCACCAAGTCAGTCCTAAATTTGTAGGTGAGGTTACTATAGTCTCAGCCTTATTGGATCTCTTTTCCATCAGGAATTGGCAAAGCCAATAAAATCTTTATGGCTAAATTAATCATATTTTATGTGCGATATTTATAATTCTCTGTTTTGTTTATAAAGTATAAGTAAATATAATCTCTATAAATGTCTAACCATGCATTTATTGTGGAATAATAACACTTTTATTAATTGAAAGATTAATACTATTTGTCCATAACTTCATTAATGCAAAGTAAGCTGCACTAAGGTGTGGAATCCTCTGGATCTTGAGATGGGCCAAAAGATAAGAAAGGACAAAATTCAGCTCCAACAACCAGTGAACAAGGAGTTAAGATACTAGAAACTGAAGCCTCTACAAATCCAGAGTTAAAAGCCTCTGCCAATTCTGGAATGGAAATCAAAGCCTGCTCCTACCACCAGGAAGTGACAGCGGCCAGGGGAAAATGGGAAGGGAGAAAGGAACACTGAGGTGAGAGACAAAGGCTATAAAAGCCCAGCGGGCTGAAAGGTGAATTCAGCATCTTCACAAGAAGGCTGAACGCTCCATGAGGCTGACAGGCTGTCGGAATCTGTGGGTATTGGTGATTCCGAGATTGTAGAAAATCTCTGTCTTTCTGCCCCGCTGCCAAAGAAGAAGCCATAATTCGTCTGTGCTGGTTTCAAGGTTGTTTATTCTGTTTATCTCTAACATGTTCTGCTGCCCTGCCGCAGCTCTGTCCTGCAGGGCAGCGTGTGGGGCTCTGCCCCCAGTGGG